TTGTTATTAATTATTTTATTTGACCTTTAAAATTATTTTTGGGAAAAAGATAAAAAAATAATAAAGCATGTGCTTTTGACGCTTCGAATCACCTTCTGTTGCCTAGAGTCGCATTAAGCAATTAAAATTAGAGTTGTCCATTTTTTCTACCCGACGCGGGACGAAAATGTGAATAATAATAATTGGTTTTTGTTCGTAATACACGACTAGGTGCTTGCTCGAATTTCACTCAAACGGACGTGATAACTATTTGGAATCTACAAAATAAATATTGGAATTCACCAAGTAATGGGAACACTAAAAAATTTTTAATCACTAAAAACAAATATATTATTTTTACAACATTAACGCGTATTTATAAACTCAAAATAAATTATATCCCAAACGAAACGTTAATTTTGTAAATAAGCCCAACTAAAATAGGAAAAAGCCAAAAGAAATCCAATTAAAAAAACTGCTAAAATGATAAAAATGCCCTTAAAAATAACTAAAAACAGAAAAATAAACCCTTAAACAATAGAATTTGACCTCGAAAATTTGAAAATGTTGACCTTTGATGTGCAAAATAAAAAATACTTCTAGAATATACTCACGTATAAAAATCCGACACTCGAGCTGAAGTTATGCGCTCTTTCACAACTTCCTTCTTATTTATTAGCTTTTATTTCAAAACAGCTTGACCCTGAGTTGTCAATAAAATACAAAGGCTTATCATTTTCTAAGACATATTCTTAAAAATCTGCAACATTAAATGTCTTAAAAAATCTTAATGTGTTCAGGAAGATCAAGGACTTGTGCATTGTCATTGATCTTTTGCATAATCTTAAGGTTCCGACCCTTCTTGCCAAAGATCGGAGGTTCATTTGTAATCCGATTTTTCCTTGTTATAGTGTTTATTTGTTTTATGATGATGTTGATGTTGATATCCAAGAGCTATATGTGTTCTTGATGTATTGGTAGCCTCTGAAGTGTGTTCTAGATAGGGTTAACAAAGTATCAATTTATTTTATAGTGGAAGACTTTTACTGGACTAGGTCCCGAGATTTTTCCTTCATACTGAAGGGTTTCCTTAGTGAACAAATCATTGTGTTCAATTATTTATTTCTTGCAGTGTGTGTGAGTTGGTAGAGTTGGATTTATTACTGTCATTTTAATTCTGCACAATCGGAGGGGTTGAAATTGTTTCTGCTGCTTGTTATATTATTGGTTCAATCCCTATCATTGTGTATCAACAACAGTTTTATGCTTTGCATTGGAGGCTTCCAACTTTTCCTTCATCTGTTCAATCACATCCACATGTTCGACTGCTGCACTCTTTTTCATAGCGTTTGGAAGTTTAACCAAGTCCACTGTTTGTGCGAGTGATTTACTTGTTAAAGAATGAACCACACTATTATATGCAAATTCTGCCTGTGCCAAAGCAAGATCCCATCGTTCTCTCTTCTCACCACAAGTGCACCGTAACGGATTCCCTAAGGTTTTGTTAACTACTTAAGGTTGACAATCGGTATGAGGATGTGCTGTGCTGCTGAGTTTTAATTCTGTCCCAAACTTCTTCCACAAAGTCAACCAAAATAAGCTAAGAACTTCGAATCTCGATTTGAAGTGATAGATTGAGGGATCCCATGTAGTCTAACAATTTCCTGAAAAAACAACTTCACCACATATGATGCATCACTGGTGTTAGACAGGGAATAAAATGTGC